CAGCGGGAGCTGTGTCCTCTGAACAACAAGGTCAAAAGTTAACAGCAGCGCCAGAAGAGGAAGAAGGAGGGACACAGCAATAAATATAGCAGGAACAATCGGGCCCTTCGGCAGTACGAAGGCCTGCAACCAGGACAATAGCGTAATAACTGGGAGCATGATCCACGACAGAGCGATGTTTTTCCAAAAAAAAAAAAAAAAAAAAAACATGGGACAATGAGGAGAGGTTGAGGAAGGGGGTGGCTTAAAAGTTGCAGCAAAAACAAGACAGGCGGAGGCACGGCGACGTACCAAACATGCAACTGGCATGGAGAAGAGTCTGTAACAAACATCAAAAAGGCGGTCTGCTGCATTGCTTTCGCTTCACCGCCTGCTTTCTCAGTCAGTCAAGGTGTGTGCACTGTGCGGAATAAATGACGAGGGAAATCTGGGCCTGCATCACAGACTTCCCCCCACCACTTTATGATAAAAGATAATCAACCCTACGAGGGCAGACCGGGATTCACTCCCTCCCCATCACTTCCAAAGACGCTACGCTTCTGAACTCTTGCTGTGCAAAGCCATAACGGACCAAATGAAGGATATTTCTGTGCATGTGTGTGTGTTGTCGTGTTCGCTGTACACGACTCCACAAAAAACGCATGACTGTGTCAGAGTGTTTCGTCGGACTGTGTCACCGACTCATCAGGAGGTTGTACCCTGACAGTCTTCCCCAGATGCATTTGACTGATGGATAAGCACTTACCACGTTGCCCTGAGTTAGTGATTCCCTGCCCCCCAAGAAAGTGGTCACCTTTAGAGAAGATTAGGCACACCAACCCTGCAATCCTAGCAGACTGCCGGTCCAAACCCCTGACAAGAATGGTCACTCACAGCCCTAAAACCCACTCTACCCAACCACTCAGCCACGGATGTCCCCTGCCAATGCTGGCATGATGTGTGATGTAAATTCAAATTGTCACCACAACAGCCCTTTTTCCTACCTTGATGAATAGATCCAAAATGAACCCAGCTTCAATTTGATTGCAGACAATCATGCACACTAAAGATGAGCCAATCCAACAATGAAACTGTTTTACCTCTCTATAGCAAGCAACATGAAGCGGAACTGATCCGTTATTTCCCTTTCTTGACTATCTTTACTTTGGCTTCCTTTGGGTACCCCTTTTATTTGTTCCTTCAGGTCCTCTTTTACTGTGCCTGTCATGTGTATTTGTGTGTGTCTGGGCGGTGGGTGGGGGTGGGGGGGGTGGGGGGGGGGGGAGATGCCTACCCACACTCACCAATCCGTACACTTTTACGTGTGAAAATACTTTTGTTCTTTTGTTTGTTAAACTTTGCTTGTTATCACAAAAACAAAAGAAAAAAAAAGTAGTGCGAACGTAAGCAGCACGGGCAAGCATCAACCGGGATTAGTCTGACCTACCGGTTCAATAGCTGGTATCCATGACATCTGCAATGCTTACGAAAGGCACACCCTGGTTGTATTGGTTCCCGCCCCCAGAACGGAAAGCACGGGCAATATGGAGCAAATGGAAGGTGAAGCTAAGCCGTCTGATGGCTTGGAAGGGAGAGGTGTGAAGACTTTTTTCGGACAGTGCTTTGATAAAAAAAAGGTTCAATCTGGCAGCCTACACACATGCTGAGAGGAGGTGTTGAATAGGGAACTGTTTGTTCATACTGTTTCTTTGCAGAGTAGCTGTTGGTACTGCTGGAAAGGGATGAGGTATTGTAGTCAAGAGGTGTGGGCAACTGTCTTCACCCGAATAGGACGCCTGATCATTATAGCTGGATTTAGTGCCTGTCTAGATACGGCAAGAATGACCAGGCGTTCTACTTGGGTGAAGACGGGACAGCTAATCCTCCCAAGCAAGGAGTAATCAACTAATCATCAATGCTTTTGTCCAAGCCTCCTCCCCTGGCTGCAATGACGAGAGGCTTCTGCATGCCTAACTCTGAACTTTTTTAAACCTTGACTTGCCACGTGTAACAGGAACTGCAGAGTGAGGTTCCTCAGTAGAATAGAATGGAGCCTCAGCTTAAGGCTGCGGTTATCAAAAAAAAAAAAGGAAAAGGAAAAAAGAAGAAAGATGCGGATGGCCTGGTGGCTCAGTGGTTAGAGCACTGGCTGGAAATGCGCATTGTGGTATGAGGTTGCAGGTTTCAAACTCTGCGGCCCCGCGCACGTCCGCCGTTCGGCGCTTTCATAGCGCCCAGCCATTCGCGTACCCCCCTTGGAACGACGCATGGTAAGTTTATACAGACACTGCCTGCGCACCGCCCAAAGGGGTCCTCGTCCATGGTTGTTGTATCCTGGGATGGGCTTGGGGGAGGGCTTTCCGGGGTTTGGTTTGCGCGTTGTTCCGATGATCTCAGGTCTGTTCTGGTTGTCACTCCATGGGGAGGTAGGGAGGGGGGGGAGATCTAGAGGGTACATGTAGGAACCCGTGCTGTGCATTCAGGACCTAGTCGATCGCTTGGGGTAATATACAGAGCTATCTCGTCCGTGGAAAGATCTCGCCGTACCTATAGACGGACCCTGTTAGAACTGAGGGGATTGCTCATAGTAGTATTGTATATGGTATTGAATGAGCACTAAAAGAACCCCCATTCGAACCCTGCTTGAACGTCGTGGGAATATAGTAAGTACTAGACTACAGGATAGTTTGCGGGTCCAGAGAACCCTGGTCTGCTACTCCCTCCCTCTCCCTAAGGGGGTCTCCGTCTAGACGTCTGGGTACCATGGAGTTTCCCGGTTAGAAGGGGGCCTTCATAGTGCAGGGGAGTGGCACAGTGAGTAGTATGTCTAGGTGTGTTCCCCGCCGTGTCTGTCTCGAACCACGGGGGTACAAGGGCTGTCTCATCTCTGGGGTGTGTGTGGCGGGAGGGGTACAGGAACCTTGTGGTAGGTAGGGTTGAATGGTTCAGGTTGCTTAACGGGTAGTTCACCGCTCGAGGGGAGTAGTTGACTCACATACAAGTGGCCTCATGGGCCGTGGAGACCGCATGGGTGGGTGGGAAATCGCATCGTACGTAGAAATACTACCTGGGGTAGTCCAAGTAGTTAAGAGTCTGCCTGATGACCAGCAGGTGCGAGCCAATGTTCGTCTCATGGATTAGGACCGCCTGACTGGCTGGTCGTCTCTAGGCAGTGTATAGACATTGGGGTACTCTCATAGCCCCCGCCATCAGGGTCCTCGGGCCCACCAGGGACCAAGCAAGGGTAAGGTTGGGTATAGGCTGAGTGGCTGAAGGCATTGGTTTGCTAAATCAACATACAACAAGATTGTATCATGGGTTCAAATCCCATTTCCTCCGTTCCGTCCGGGGCGTAGTTCAAGTGGTAGAACGCATGTGTTGCAAATATGAAGTTATCGGTTCAAGTCCGATCGTCTCCAATTTCCCCGTGAGCCCACGTAGCTCAGGTGATAGAGCATTCACGTGGTAAGGGAAAGGCATCCAGGGCTGGAGGGACTAGTAGAAAGGATGCCGATAAAGTGTAGCTCAGGTAGGACTGTACTGAGCCTGTCTCCTGAGTAGTGGGTAGGATAAGTGAATTAGGGGTGTTTGAACTGTACATTAATGGGAGGGAGGTAGGCCCTCTCCACCTGTCCAAGGGGGGATCGGCTAGGGATCTGCTAAGCCAAGGGTTGGGGGACAAAGCTGTTTAGAGTGGGCCCGCAATACATCTAGTTGAGGTTGGAAGGGACAGAATCCGATCTCTGGTGGCAAGCTGTAGATGTGGAAGGGACACGACTTGCGATAGGACTTAGGGCTCTAAGCCTGTAGAGGACTCCGTCTAGGAAGATCCAGAGGGCCAAGTGGGTCATTCCGAACTTTGAGTGACTGAAACCCCGGAGACTCACGGAGAGTACTCCTGCACGTGATACCCTGCCTCACAACCTGGGGGTTAAAAAAAAAAAAAAAAAAAAAAAAAGAAAGGAAAAGAAGAAGAAGAAGAAGAAAGATATGCAGGGGTTATTTGGCGTGCATTCTCCCTCTCACCTCTTGCAACTGCCATGATAAAGTGATGACATCTTCAAGCATGGTTCTTGCTTTGTCCTGGATAATACAAACAATGGCAAATCCAGTCGAATTAGCAACAATCAAGGAAACAAAAAAGCCTCTCTCTCTCTCTCTCTCTCTCTCTCTCTCTCTCTCTCTCTCTCTCTCTCTCTCTCTCTCTCTC